TTTAATTGAGGGTTATTATTAGCCTCTACCTCGAGGGTGCGATTTGAATGGCTGTTAACAGCCCAACGCAGCCAAAACCTGGAACTATCCAAGAACTCCACCTATGCCGTTGTTAGTCCATTAGTGGAACTCATTAAGAGTTATGCCCAGAACTGCGGTGGAGTTTTTTCTTGGAAGCCCAAATTTGGCTCTGCCTGATTTGAGTCAAAACCGTGTCACCCCAACCCAGCACCACTGAGCACACACAACTTCTGAGTGCACACAACGAGGGGGTAACTCAGCCAAAATGAGCTTACCTCAACACTTCGTTTACAATGTACAAGAAACGGGCTACTAAATTCGTCTATATGCAAAGATATAGACAACATAGTATATTACAACCAAATAGAATCATATTATAATCTTTTAGTCAAATAATGATAAGTGAAAGTTGATTTAAGATAGATTAACTCAAGGATAATTACTCGCAATTGCCTGAGTTGATACCAGTTCATCAATAGACTAGACAAATGAATATTGACTAAGCATTATCAAATATAATGAGAAGTACTATCACCTAATAAAATCATATTAATAAAGAATTTAACATTTGGACGACATGACTATAAGTTATAATCGACTTCTTATAAAACAACTACCTCTAACTAGAAAAGGCTCTAAGATGTCTAGCTTCCTTACGCAAGATGGCAACGTAACATCTTTAATTAACGATTGTATCGTCTATTGGTATTAACAACACTTATCTTAGTACAGTACAACTGTAAATCATTATGATTATTGCAAAAGATAAAGTCCTTTGACAAAATAATGGCACATTAACACGTTGGCCGCTATTGCTGATTTGGACCGAATGCCGTACGGGCGATAGGTTCAAACTTGTATATCTTCAGTTACCCAGCAGATAGCAAGGAGAAAAGTTGTGTGCAGCTCTGCAAGGGTATGTTCTGTCAATGTGTCACGTAAAATTCGTGGCCCCATTTGGTACACATCGCTCAGGGTTGAAATTCGTCATTATTCCAGGCGATGTGTACCAAATGAAGCCACGGCTGTTGTGGCTCATATTGGCTCACGCCGCCTATCGTAATCTCTTCTAATACTGTGGGCGATGTGTATCAAGCAAAGACATGCATCTATGGCTCATATTGCGGAAAAACGCCTAAAGTTATCACTTTTATCACTGCGAATGATGCGCGCAAGAAATCTACATTAGTTTTGAGTCATAATTGCACTCATTATGACTACCGTAAAATGGGGTAACTTAGACCACTTTTTCTTTTATAAATGATGCCATTTTTTTACTAGCTAAATTAAACTTGAATTGAAACATGCAAAATACAGGTCTATACTCTAGCTTCACTCACCATAAATTGCTGGCTCCTGCCTCTCATAGTCTTTATGTAATTTCAAAAAAAATGATGGTCTTTGTTACCCCAGCTCTTGGGGTAACTTAGACCGGGTGGTAAAATCAATTATATTTTTTGGTAAAAGAACTCCAAATAACTCCAGGTTTTGGTACATTGCAGTAGAACTCTTCCAGGGTTGGCAATGATTAAATCAAAATGATTAAATCATGTGATTAAATCACTTGATTTTTTTATAAAAAAATCATGATTTTTTTTTATTTATTTGATTTATTTGATTTTTTCATATATTTGAATATATTAAGTGGCAGTCTTTAATTTATATTGAGGTATTGTTATTCTTTGATTAGTATAAATGTACTATGAATGACAAATTGGTATATAAACTTGTTGCCTTTAGTGTGTATTAGGTTCCAATAAATTCAATGTTTTTGGTACAGAGGCATCAAGTGTGCATACGTAGCTTGCAGTTTAGCTAATTCTTATAAGGCTATAATTAGTCTTTAACTATTTGACTATTTGTTATGCATTGATTACAATATACAATTTAAATGTGCTAGCTAGCTTATAAAGGGTGGGGCAGAACTGATTGAGCAGTTTTGAGGTAAAATAAAAGAGTAACGGTACATAAAGAAGAAAATTTATTTTCCTCAAGATTAGCATAACATACCATTTGAAATACTTATGTTTTGATAACAATAACAGGAAGATGGTGTCTGTTAACTGTATCACACTGTTGGAGTCGTTCTCGGAAGTTTCCTACAGCACGTTCACACATATGGCGAGGTATGGCCATAACCTCTGCTGCAATAATCTGTTCCCTTAGCTGTGGTAGAGTGCAAGGGCAACTTCTGAACACCCTTTCATTTAGATGTCCCCAAAGAAAGAAATTGCAAATGCTCAAATCAGGTGACCTTGCAGGCCATTGTAAATCACCCCTCAGGCCTCAGAGTCTGGGAACATGAGTTTCAAAACATGGAGTTCGGGCTGTGTGAGCTGTAGCCCCATCCTGCTGGAACCACACATCTCCCAATGCTTCATTTTCAACAATGTTTGCCATCATGGGCTGCAAGACATTTTGCAACATTGCAGCATAGCGATAGGAATTCACTGTTACGGTTACTCCCTCCTCTGAGAATGACTACAACAGTGTGTTGCACCTAACGGCCCTATCTTCCAGATATTGTTTTCAAAACATAAGTAATCTAAATGGTATGTTATGCTAACCTCTAGGAAAATAATTTTTCTTCTTTATGTACCGTTACTCTTTTATTTTACCTCAAAACTGCTCAATCAGTTCTGCCCCACCCAGTATATTGAGTGGTTGAGATTGTATTGACCTTAAAGGCAATTAGAAAGATTTTCCACCCTAATACGAGTATTCTAATTAAAATATTTAATTTCAATCTTTAAATATGTGAATTTTAAACTAGAGACAAAACAATTACAATTATAAGACTATATATAAAATAATTAAATGCAGTGAATGGATATAAAATATTTGAATTGTGCACATGTTTATTTCAAACAGTGTTAGCTTTTCTCATAACTTAAGTCTTGTTTCAAGTTGTATGAGGTTTGTTTGGTTATCATTCAGTTTATGCTTAGTATTGGTTTATTGGTCTAAACTAAATGGGAACAGTGCAGTCAGTCACTCAGTCACTACTAGTTGGTGTGTATAGAGGGTAGAGTCTGGTAGATTTATAGGACATAAAACTAGTAGATCTATNAATGAGGGAAGTGCCGTAGCAAAGGTGAAACTCAAGGGATAAAAAAATACCTTGGTGACTGTGAAGGAAAGTCATACATGTGCGATAATTGTTTTTCAATCAGGTATGAAGTATAATGATGTTGGCAACACCCAATTTTTTAGTTTCAGATCAATAAGAAAATATTATATTTTCTTTTCATACAAAGATAGATATATATATTGCTTTTATCAATTGACACAAATTTCGTAATTTTTGTATTACTTGCATTTGAAAATAAAACTATTTCTCTAAGCAGTAGTTGACTTCAAAGCATTCCCTAACATGCCTATTTAATTGCATCATTGAAATTTTAAATTTGAAAGAGTTATAAGATTTTATAAAAATATGTATTTTTCATATGAATGTACCACATGTGTACACATCGCGATTCTGAGAAGTACAGCGTGTACATATATGGCGCACATCGCGGCCAACGTGTTAAAGCAAATAAATCTTAAACTAATTCAAAGAGACCAAACTCTCCATTGTTCACGACTACCTAGCGCACGTTATAACAAGGTCAGGAGCGGCTCAACCAATCACGTTGGAGCTGCACCTTGTCTCGTCCAAAGACACTAACTGAATCCTAAAAACACAACAGCTAGACGAGATTCCATATTACAGTCACGAAATAAATATTCATTTACTCATTACTTAGTCATACAAAATAATATCACAGTAACGAAGATTCCTTGTTTCAGTCACAAAAATATATGAAATCACATTGAGTCACTAATCTAATAAAAGAACATTATCAACATAACACGTCGTCAAAAGGGTACTCCTAAAAATAAAAAAAAATATCACAATATTTGTACCGTCACACTTGTTATGTATTTTTTTGTGTGCTCCTTTGTTAATAAAGAATAAAGTAGGTCCAAATTTGTCTGTAGGGCCAACCATTGAGTGTAAAAGATATTTCAACAAATAGCAGCAACAGCAGTGCAGCTATGAAGCTGCAGCCTAAGGACGCAAAATCACCTCCGCTGCAATCATGTACTAGTACCAGAAAATTGTAGTCCTGTTTATATAATTTTTACCATTGACATCTTTATAATTTTGTACAGAAATGCATTGTTCAGTCCTAATTTACCATGATTCATTAAAAAAAGTCGTAAAATTGCAAAATACATTGCAGTTACAGAAAGGGCTAATGTAATTCATTTTCTATCAATTTCTTTCCATACATGTACACTCAATACATTAGTTCCTGGTCCATTTTATTAAAAAAAATATATTTGTCTGTGATCTATTTTGAGCCACCTGCCAGATGGTGATGCCAATGCTCTGTGTTTTGTGTTCCATATTTAAATATTCAAATATCATGTTTACACTACTTTAGACCAGCAGGTAGTTCCATATGATAATCATTTCTTTGAATATCATTAGATAGCTGATAATTTTGGTACCTATAGTAAATTGGAGTTAATATTAAATGGTTTATGGTGACTACGGTACTACTCAAGCTATAAATGCATTTTGTCTACTGAGGGAAGGGAAAATGCATCTCCAAACTCATTTGCCAGGCTACAAGTTTGACATTGAATTATGCATTTTGCCCTTAAATTTCAAAACAAAAGACTTCTAAAAAGAAATTTAGAAAGAATTTCTTTTTTAAAATAAATTTAGCCTTTGGTAACATATATAGGTATATTCTTTTGTTCTATTTTATTAGTAGTTTTATTGCTAAATATAACTGTTGAATATGTTGTAAAATGCAATGGAAACTTTTCTAACATATACCAACAATTTTGTTGCAGAAATTTTATTGAAATTCCTAATCTATTTTATACCATTAACTTTATTAATTCCTTCACCATGTTTGGTACAATTTTTTATGTATCTATAGATTTTTTATTTAGCTGTAAAGCCATGAATAGAATTGAAATTGAATTGTGCTAAAGAAAATTTCAATTAAGATGCTGAAAGTAGTATCAGCTTGTGATTTTATATCATCAAGTTGGACCAGAAAACTCCTGCAAAGAGCTTTTCTAGGACACTTTTGATGCCATTTTGGAGGTGCCACATCCTACAATGGGAGCCACTGGCAGCAAGGGAGGTGGTAGCAGAAGTGCTCCTCTAACTCCAGTACGAGATGCTGGGTCTGAAGAATCTCGCTCTGTTTCCTCGGCTGCTGTTTCTTCTGCAGATATCAACAGGAAAGGAATTGCTGCACTCATCAGACCACTCAAGCCACCATCTCTACGGCCCGGGCAAAGCCTGTCTGATGTGAGTACATTTTTGACCAAACTATTTAGCTGTCTATCTATTTATTTGCTGCTTTCCTTTAGAACATTGTCACTATGTAGCAAAACATTTTTTCGTTTGTACTAATGTTACACATTTAACCATTCTAAAAATCCTTTCTTCTTTGAAATGTATGATCCCTTATCTATGTATTGTAGAGTCATAGCAGTCCTGAAATACATTTATTAAAACTCTTTCTTTTGACGAGTAATGTACCTTGTAATTGGTTACTTTTTGCACCAGAAGAAGAGGTGTGATCTTTCCTTTCTATTTCAGGTTCTAACACCGCAGTTCAATGTAATGAGTCTTGCCAACAACTTATCACAGAGATTTTCTGTACTCAGTGGATTATCCTTCATTTCACTAGTGTCTGCTCAAGCTAATCCAGATGGCTCCAGGAAGAAAATTACCAGAACAAGGTTGGTTGATTATAATGTTTAAATTGAGATTGAAGCATCTGTTATAATTGTTTTTACCCAGGTGGAGAAAAGCTCTATTTTTTATTGGACTTTATTCATCTCTTACACTTGAACACTAACATCAAAACTTATTCACTTCTGAAGCTTAAAAGCTTAATAATAAACAATTAAGAAATCTCTGAATACTCTAGTTACACTTCAACAATTGATAGAATTTCATCACTCCGTAATCTTAGAATAAATCAAGTACCTATATATATAATTTTTTATTCATATACTATTCTCTTTGTTGTAGGATAAATTCTCTTTGTTCAAAATAAATTAATTAAATGTAATTACTTCATTCTTCTATTGTTTGAAAAAAATTAGACAATAATTTGGCATCCAGTGAGATATTTTTGACCCTTAGATACCGAGGAGGGAGCATTTCTGGACCTGGCAAGACAGCTTGGCCGGTGGCTCAGACTGAACTGCTTTTCTTGCCTGAGTTTCCAGTTGGTACTGATCAGAAGATGCAGCTCATTGTGAGTGAGATTTATCCTGTTATGCTTCAAACTTTTATATGGGTTGCATCTTGGTTGACATCTATACGAGTGAATTAAAGTGATAGTAATTTTATAAACTGTTACTTATCAATCGACACTGCACCAGACGGAAACTAAACAAAAATACTTGTTCTAGTGTTGAAGTGAAGGTATTGGTGCAATTGTAACAAAGCTAGGTACTCTTATGGGAGTTATTTACAGGATAATTGTGTTAGCATTTGGCAATGACTTCTTAAATTGGCAATTAAGTATTAATTCTAAAGATTCATTTCTTTATGCAGATTTAAATTGTTACATCAAATGTTGTAGTGGTAGTTTTATAATGAAGCATTGTTAATGCAAGTTTGCTTGTTTTAGTTCTATGGTGAAGTGTCCCGTGGGGCTTTTGGCCAAGTGTTCCACGTACAGTGCGGCAACACACTCTTGCACTACGCCATGAAGGTTCTCGCCAAGAGTCAGGTACGTTAAAATTGATGTTTTTTTAATGAGTGTTTTAAAAAAAAATTATTTAATAAAGCTTTTTTGAGATGCGAGGAGAAATGTCCCCTCAAGTAAAAATTTTAGAGGACTCCATTTTATCGCAACTCCAACACAATGAGGCATAGTATGCAATTTATCACCTCAATATGTTTTCAATGTAGATCATGAGCATTCCTTGGAGTCCTCATGTTCTCATTACCACTCGTTGTATTTTTTTTACTCAGTTAAAAAGAGCAATTTGTTATTTTAAATGCTATTTGAGAGTTAGATTTGACTAGCTTGCCTCAAACTTTTTCTGGGGGAATTTTGTGTTAAATCATATTTATTTATGTCTGCAAATTATAATAAAACAGATGAACTAAACGTAACACAGTTCAGTGATCTAATAGTAATAGTAAATATTGTTATAATAAAAAATAATTTTTGGATCAGATTTCTCTAGATTCCATTTGAAGCAGTTGCACTGCAATGAAGGTTGAGGTGATGTTAGTCTTTACTATAGAAGCATTACCTACAGGTGTGCAGTCTTGATGTGGTGCACCAAGTGAAGCAGGAGGTCATGATACAGCAGATGTGTAGTCACCATCCATTCATCTGCCCACTCACCCATCATTGGCAGACCAGGAAACTCCTTGTTGTCAGTAAGTTGTGCATGGTCAGGAAACTCCTTGTCGTCAGTAAGTTCTGCATCTGTCTCTTATACACATCTAGATGTGTATAAGAGACAGGTCCAGGAGAGAATGTGCTGGTGACAGTCCAGGAGAGAATGTGCTGGTGACAGTCGAGGAGAGAATGTGCTGGTGGCAGACAGGCAAGGGAAGAATGTGCTGTTGATGGTCGAGGGAAGAATCCATTTTTGCCTGTCGTGTTAAGAATGTATTGTTGACAGTCAAGGGGAGATTTCACGTACAGGAGCGTCCATCGGTTTCGTCCTTCTCACCTGCAAACATAAATAAAATAAAAATAAGTGGTAGATCACTCTTTCGTTTCTATCTAGTCCATCGCTGTGTGTATCATTCATGTATATTTGTTTTATGTATAGGACACCATTTTTGCGTCCTCGTTTCATTCACAAGTCCGGTTTGAAACGCGAGATCTTGACTTGCTTGTGCAATATACGTAATGATTATGTATTTTTTATTAATACTATATGATTATTATTAGGTCCATCTTATCATGAGTTATAATCGCTTCTGATAACGATTTTGAGAGATTTGAACTTAGGTATCTCAAATTAGGATAAACGTTCGTATATTTTCTTTTGTTGTACCGAAAGCGCGTTTCGCGATAAATATCGTTTTAGTTTTATGTTCTAATGTTATGTTTTATTCTAATTAAAACTCTGCAATAAATGAAATTGCATTTAGAGCAGACTTAAGTTGTCAAAGCTATTGAATAAAAAATTACCACTAGAATTTTCGGAAGTTCTGAAAAAATTTGTCTACTTGCATACTTAGCGTTTTCAGTTTAAATAATTCAACAACGAAACTCGCGTTTCATCAATAATTTAAATAATTCTACGAAAACGTCATGTTTCGCAACGCTCGATGTCAAAGGCTGTCCGAAAAATTGCTTTCTTAGTCAAAATGTTGAATTCCATTATCGATCGTACTGGACATGGCTGGCCTCATGAATATTTAAATATTCATGAATATTTGAATATTCAAATACCCATGAATAACATTCATGCGTATTTGCATTGCTTGTGCGTGAATACTGCGATTATAGAGCGTGTGAATCGAACATCGTGGAACACGTATAATCATCACTGCATTTGAAATGAGATCATCTGAGTGAGCTGTGCACCACCGCATATTATCAACGTTTCGACATATATTGATGTTTTACCATTGAATAGAATCTCATATTCATGTTCAATCGTAAGCGCTATTTACATGCAGCAATTTATCCATGCACTAGCAAAACGCGATCGCTACTCTACTTGTTAACGTTAGTTATATGGAAGTATATTTATTATTCATGTGCATTACTTCTACGTTTGATCTGGTACCGGATACCTGATGTATGAGTTGATGATTGTTAAGAATATGTTTACAGTTATTTCGTGTATCTAACATAGCTCTTAGGCACCTAAAAACTATCATTTCCCAACAATCCTTCGTGTTCTCTATTGCATCTTTGTGACGCCGGCCAGCGTATGTCGTTTGGAAGGAAGGTTCCACTCTTAAAAATCTATGTTGATATGTTCGTTTCCATTTGATAGGAGGGTGTGTAAATTTTAATTTCAAAGGAGAGTGTAGAGGTAATGCCAATATTCCACTCTTAAAAGCTATGTTGATATGTTCGTTTCCATATGACAGGAGGGTGTGTAAATTGTAATTTCAAAAGAGGGTGTAGAGGTAATGCCAATATTCCACTCTTAAAAGGCTATGTTGATATGTTCGTTGCCAAGACGTTGATATAAGAAATTAGGATTTGTCCTCGATCGCTTGTTTAGCGTAGTTTGTTTAAGCTTGAGTTGTGTCGCTTGCGTAGCAGTAAGTTTATGGAGGACGATAGCAGCGAGCAATGTAATGTTATTATCTGTTGTGACAGTTTTTTAAACTAAGACGCATTTTTTGCTGTTATATCTTTTCTTGTGAAAGGGGCATTTATCTCGGCGTTCCAAATTACTTTATTCTTAATCGATTTCAAACTGTAAATCCAGTTTTGCGCAAATAAATCTTGTACAATTTTTCACATGCCGCTTATGTCGAGCTTGCGATAATAATTTGTTTTAGCAGGACATGGAGTAATGTTATTATGTTCCTGTTAGCTGCAACCGGTCTATAGCATATCATTTTCTATGTCGACGTCGCTGCCAGCCTTTAATAAAAGTGTAGCTTCAGGCTTCTTTGTAAGAAAACTGCTTTGTAGTAAACTTAGACTAGCAGTCTGCTGCGCTCACCTTTTGCTTCGATGTAATCTAGATGCTTGGCTAATACAAGAGAGGGATATTTTTCTTACCGATCTTACTTGAAAATGATGGGCAAAAAGTGCCACATGTAGTCTCGTCTGCATGAAAAACTGCGTAGCATGAATTCGCACAGCGATATCTGCTACGCGTATGGCTGCAAGGTTCGGACCGCTGCAAGATTCTTAACATAAAAAAGACTTGTCTCGGTTACTGTTACAGTGAGTTCGGCAAATGAGTTTTTACAGTGTATTCTCAATGACATTCCGAGTCCAATGTAAGGACTGACGCGGTTTTTTACTAGGTATTAAAATAAAGGCGCTTTTCGTCTCAATATGACGCAATAGAATTTTCATTTAAGTCGCATCGTACAATAAATCTGATAAGTTACTGTCAGATTACATCTATTGTTGCTAATATTAATTTAGCTGGTAATAATCTTTTAATATATGAATCTCTGGTTCAATTTTGTCTGTGATTTTATGTTTAAAATGTTCATTTATTTCGAATGTATATCTATTTATTATTCTTCTAACTTCTTCCGCCGTTGTGCGATTTCTGGAATGTTGTTGAATTTGAGTGTTTTGAATTATTGATAAATGATACTTAATAGTTCAGATTTGTGTTTTGTTTAATTAATGTATCTTTTTTGGCCTTTATATACTTCAAAACTGATTTGCAAACACTGAAGTGTGCCGGAGCACGTGTTCAGTCTTAAAATGCCTAGCAAATTACGGACCAGGCAATAAGTCCAGACGAAGCTATGCAGGAGCACATGTTCAGTCTTAAAATGCCTAGCAAATTACGGACCAGGCAATAAGTCCAGCAGCTATCTCAATCAATCGTCAGCTATGGAAAGATCGGGTTCCAAAGGCCGGATCCCTTGTGAATCAAGTCACGAAAAGTACAAGAATCGGCAACAGGCCATGCAGGCAAGAATCGGCAACAGGCCAATTACGTTTTGACTCGTAATATTTCATCAATTTTCATTGTTCGCAGTATCGCTTGTTTTGCTTCTCGATTAACTTCTAATCGCTTAAATTAGGCAAGGTTTTAAAATATTTAAAAGTGCTTTTTTTTGTTGGACTACCGAGTGCATTGGTTAGAGCCTATTTGGCAAAATGTGAGGCGTTATTGTTGAGTTTTGTTGGCGTGAGATAAATATTTGAGTGTTGCAATTTTAGAAACATTGCCATTCTGGCTCATCTAGTGCCATGCCAAGTCAAACGGTAAGTTGAACGGTCAATAACGTTAGGAGTTACTACATTCTCGCAGAATGGCCGTCATAGCTCGGTCTTTGAGTTTGATCGTTTCTGACAGCATAATCATGTTCTTGTGTTGTAATGAATATAAATTATGTTTTCGTTATCGAGGTGCTGGATGTTGTGGAATTAATTCCCGTATGATATTTCCGGCAGTGATTCTATGTTATTTCGCCGCATTTATTGCATCGAGTATTCATTTATCTTGCTATGCCATCCAAGAAACTACAGATTCTCACTAGCAAATTATCATAGGCTTAAGCGTTTCGATGTTTTGGCGCTATGTTAACTGTAATAATTTCAGTTTACTTACGCTGAAGAATGGTCCATGATCAAAGCCTAGCACGGGCACGGTGAGTGTTCTCGTATCCTAATAACTTAATTCAATTCCAAGTATATTAGAAGGAATCCACTTTCATTTTTGGAAAACTCTTGCCAGATGTGATTTGCTTATATAAAACTGTGCTGTCGAATGTAGTCAATTTTAAAAGCGTCACTCGTAGGAGATTCATCTTGCTAAATGATTGTTTCCCATTAATTTGTATCGAAAAATATTCTCGGGATAGGATGCTATGAGCCAGCCTATGAGTAAGTGTAGATGAGAGCAATTGCAGAGTAATCAAAATTGTCAAAAACACCTGCACAATGTCCTAATAGTGTGAACTGCTACTAGAAATAATCATTAAGGGAGTGTTAGCGTAGATGATGCTACAGCTTGCTTACCTAACTTGTTGATTGTATATGAAGTGTCAGCGTGAACGCACTTGCTGTTCCCGATACAGAGTAACCCGCTACCTTGAAACCAGTAAAGCCTTGCCCTGTAACTTGTAAAATTCATTATTTATAAATTCATCGATCAACCTTGTCGTATTACGAGTATTGGAGAAAAGTTCATCGATTAATTCGACACTGCATTGACAACACAGAAATTGATGCATGTAATTGAATCATTTTAACGTAACTTGTCAGGACGTTTATTTACATGCATTATACCTTAAACTGCCCATCCAGGATATATCCCAGACATATGTGCAATCTTAGCAGCAGAAGATTGGTATAATAAAGTCAAGTTTCAACAATTCAGTATAATAGACTATGTTTAACAACAGGCAGCTTGGATATGAAGAGCTAAGGCAGCAATCAACCTCACTGCCCCATGTGAAATAAACTCGACTTTCGATGACATGCCAGAAACAAGAGGGGACGTAAAACTGCATTAACGCCTATTGCTGCTCACAATTTAAAAAACTTAAGCAAATACCTAGAAATATGCATTACGACTGACTTTTAGATAGTGGATAAGCCTTTCAGTATCGCTTGCGTGCACAGCAAGTTTAAAAAAATATCAACATATCATTTGGGCCCTAATAAACCCTGGATCATTACTCTACAGTAACTAACATCTGAAGAGACTAGCAAATCATGTAGGAAAAATGAAAAATAAGCTTTGTCGTTACCACGGGAACGAAGTAGGAAGAAGTAGAAGGATTGGTAAGATTGATGGGGACAAGTGGAGAGAGATAGGAAAGTACGGTTGGACAAACATGCCATGCATAGGAGTCTCTAATAACAAGGTTAAAATCGTAGCTCGCCCAAGGAAATGACATTTTAAACTGAGGCCCCACTCAACCGTTCAGCAACATGAACTCTTTCGGCTTTTAACTATTAACACTGAGCAAAGGTAAGCACGACAACTTTCTGCAATGGTTACTTTGGTTCGATCCAGAAGCGAATGAATAAACTAATTTCTTTCCCGATCAGCTCGTTCGGCGAAATATCATCTCACAAGTTGATTTCTATGCAACTGAGGAAATAGTTTCAACTTTACACGAGGAGATTGACTCTTTTAAAAGCGATAATAGTATTTTCCCATTCTTCATCTCACGAAATCTATCAAGGATATGAATGTGAGTAGGAACCTCAATAATTAGTAGATCACAAACCACGGCACAATTAGGGGCGCAGATAAAATGATAGCACGAATACGCACAGATAATGAAGACTCAGTTTAAAGCTAACACGATAACCAACACCCATTGAGCATCGGGCCTCGGAGTCACAGAGAGGCAACAATAAAATCAACGGCTATTTTTGGGAGTTCGAGATTAAACGTGCATCACGGTAACGCAAACTTTTAATCTCTGATACCGGTACGTTCACAGAAATTCATGAGATTCTATAATGCGAGTTTCGTAACAATGCTGCATAAAGTATTGTGACTTATCAACAATAAATAACGATAGGCCATCGACTAAAGATTGAAATAAATTCAAACGCGAGACAGACTTCTGTAGATGAGAATAATACTAGACGAGTAGAGAATTCGCGAAAAATATGTGCACAAAAATTACATTCTAATAATTTTATCAAAAATGTAGTATACAAAAAGTTCGTCTCGCATAAAAAGCGTCCAGTGGGACGTCTTATCAGAAATTCTGCTGCATAAATAAATAAACAAACGAGGAAAGTTGCTAAGAATAAATGAATATGTTGTTGTTTCCCGAGCTAACGGCACAACATTCGTCCGTTGGCGTCGACACATCAAACTAACGCAAATACATTACAACACTTTTGTACATGTATAAAAAATGTGAGTAGAATGTACAGTTGTAACAAAAATCCTTGATACAGACGAGTTTGGACATCGGTATTCATTTAAAACGAATATATTCACATGAACCACAGACACACATAAATCTATTTAAAAATAAACGCAATTAGATCAACTATACAAGCTTGTCATAAAGATAGAGTTCAGAGGCCATACTTTCAAAACTCGCTAAGTAAACGTAAGTACTTACGCACTATTTTCTTGTCTATGATTGGTGGATTTTGCTTGAAAGGCCGTCAATGATTGGCTGATGAACTTACGATCTCTTAAAACTTTTTTGGAAAGTATAGGCCCAGGTTCACAACAATGTAAATGTAAGTGTAAAACTGTTAGTAAGAGTGCTATGTAAATACGTTACTTAATTTTTTGGCATTCAAAGTTTGTGTTAAAAATAATTCTAAGCAGCAGAAGATAAAAATATAACATCGTTATAGGGAGCGCCATTCAACTGTAAATTTGCAACAGAACTGAATTATTCACGTTACACTTGACCGAAATTTTTTCAATGCGCTCACATTTGAAATATTTTTATGATCGGTAATGAGATATTTGATGAAGCAAGAAACTGTTTATAGCTTTGGGACCATTCTGAAGAAAACGTTTGATACCAGAAGAAAGAACGAGCAAGAAATTAAATACAATTCGTACAATTATTCGTCAGTTGCAGATATCTCGAGGGCACAGATTATGTTTTTCGTAGCAGATAATGCAATAAATATTTCATGCAAGCAAAAGATTTGTAATTGTTTTGATGAAGAATTCAAATCGAAACAAATAATTAAGACTAAGAGATGAAGATGAGGAGAGGACTGACAAATGACGTTTGTATATCTAGAATAAAAGTTATATATCGACGAGATATCCACACATGCATCGCTATAATAATCATAACAAATATACTGATCATCAGCTACTAACATTAGCACGATCGTGACAATAAAATCTGGATGACTGAAAATACAGAGGTAGGGAAGAGTCACTTCTTTCTATAATCTACTAACTACACTCTTGAAAGAGTAAAGCAATTGAACACAAGTTCGGCATTGATAAATTAGTCCAAATATAGTCATAGTCCTCGCTTTCTTGGTCGTTCTTCGTTAAGAGTTAACCGAGAAAAATTTTCAACAACCTCGCAAGACATATCGTATCAGTCTTATATCAACATTTGCGACTATCGCAATTTGCACAGAAGCTGTGCAAATTTTCAGACATAAATCTGGAATCTACTAAATGCTTAGATCAGGAAAAATAAATGCACATTAGTTGCAGCGTCGCATTCGATGACCCAGGAACCATTTATGCTTACAATCTGAATTTAATTGCATTACTCAGTCCCAAAGATTAATCAAGTGCTCAGTTATTTTTGGGACTTTTTGTCTGGTTAAATGAAGTTCAATTCGCGTTAAAAAGCAAGGATTTCAGCGAAATCCATCCAGTCTTCTTTCAAATTTCAGTTTTGGTGCTTTATTCCAGAGGCATGCAGTAACGCAGCATGAACAATTTTTCTTACTACAATACCGCAGCGTTAAAGCTAAAAATTTTCATAAAGTCCGTCAAATTTCACACAGTGAACTTCATTTGATATAATCTACTGGTTACTTCCCAGGCATGTTGACAGTGAACTACAAATCAAAGATTCCTCCTCGATGTTCAGGTTCTAATGAAGAACAAAACATTCTGCAAAAAAAATTAAGAGCACTCCGTTTCAGCCCACAAATTTCTCAGTACTGCACGTTTAATACTTTATTCACTCGATTGTATCAATTTATTTACAATCCAGTAGCTTTTTAACACTTCTTAATTGAATCCTAGAACAGCTTAGTGTAGTAAACTTTTCACATGCTTCAATGCGTTTAATTTTTCCGTCGTCAAGGTATACTCAAGAGGAATCTCAACTTACTTTTCATTTCAGATCTCCACGACCATTTCAAACAAATACAATTTTATTTTCATGGTCCTATCACTTCTCTTTATTAAATTGAAACAATGGCCACAAGCACCCTCGAAAATAAATGTAAAAAATAAATTACTGCATACCACTCTTTAGAAAATAATCTTAAATTAGTAATCTCTGTATTTCTCCAAATTTTTTTTAGACACGTAACTGCCCAAGTACACGTAGCGGCCGATTCCTCGTCTATGATTGATGGGTTTAAATTGTAAAGCCATGATTGGCTAATGGAGTACCGAACTCTTAATTATTCCGGAAAAGCGATAATAGTATTACCGAATTTACTAGTTCTTGCCCCGAGTAATTAAAATGAACTTGATTCTAAAAAATTCCAGTACATCAACAAGGTTGTTCACTGTACCCATGACGCAGACACCCACAAGGGCTCGCTCTCACGTCTCTGTATGGCATCCATGATTGGCTGAGTACCGAACTCTCAACTATTCCAGATAGTAATTAAAAATGAACTTTTTTCTAAAGAAATTCCCGTATGTCAACAAGGTTGTTCACTGTACCCAAGACGCAGACACCCACAAGGGCTCGCTCTCAAGTCTCTGTATGGCATCCATGAGGCGCGTGAAGGCCGAGCTCAAAACGTCGTTGACGATGACCTCGTCGAAACAGTGACTATAGTGATACCGAATCCGCTGAGCAGACTTCAACATCTTCTTTAGTTCCTCCTCCTGCCAAAATGTTTACAATTATTTTATATTATGTAAGAGAAAGATGAGATGAGCCTGGCGACTTTTTCTAAGTTGAGATATATGATAGCGTCAACGATTATGAGAATATTTTACTTGTTACCAGATCAGGGTGCAAATAAATCATGACTTGATAAGAATTGCTCTAAAAATAATTAGATGTTCAATGGCAGAATTTAACTTTAATGTAGAATAATAACGAAAATCAAGCTAAACGTTATCCGGCATTGGAATGAAAAAACCCCTTCATCGACTAATCTCAATTAGAGTATATCTCATGCAAACATTTATAAACCTGCCCAAAAATTATACACGAACAAATAAAAATAAACGGAATCTCACAGAATATTTTGTTGAAGATAAAGGAAATCTCCAACCGAGTCCTTGATTGTAAAAGTAAATCGTGAGAAACGAGCATAAAAGATTTGTCTGTAAAAATTATATTATATAAGTTCAGAAGAAGGCTCGCAGTAAAAGGTCTGTCAGGGTCAGCATTATTAATATATTATACAAGTTCAGCATAAGGCTCACAGTAAAAGGTCAGTCAGTGTCAGCATTATTAACACTTATATAATTTCAGAAGAAGGCTCACAGTAAAAGGTCAGTCAGTGTCAGCATTATTAACACTTATATAATTTCAGAAGAAGGCTCACAGTAAAAGGTCTGTCAGTGTCAGCGTCGAAGGTAGACTTGGCTTGGGCAGCAGCGCGGCTCTCCTTCAGCAGCGCCAGGGGCGGCGGTTCGATGAATATCACGTACGGCTTCAGCTCAGCGCACCTCAAGTATTTCAATGCCTGTACACAACAACGAATAACATCAATGATGCTGCGAATATTAATTACTACCGAATTGCAACGAACAAAATTATTTTAGTAAGTTGCCCGAGTTTATGAGTAACGAACTGTAGAATTGCTATGGACAAATTTATTAATGATAAATTTCATAAATGAGTCACAATTTGCACGAATTGAACGGGTCACTTCATAGGGAAATTGAAGAATGAAGGACTTATTTGTCTCTATAGTTTGGCTAGCAACAATGCACATGTACGTTATTTCCGTTCATTAGATTATGATTTGTATGAAAATGATAATCATTCTGATGTATCTTGAGGGAGGAAATAAGGATTAGGGGAAAAGGGATTGGAGAAAAATACGGGATTGGGGGAATTCGGGATAACAGGGAAATAAAATAGGGTAGAAATTGAATTGTATATGAGAAATATTTTGAAAATGAGTTTAACATACGGGATTCTCAAATATAATAGATCATTATATGGAGCAAGTTTACAGGCAGAGAAGGAACAATAACATCACTTATTATGTATCATCGAGCTTTTTATAAACAAAATACGCTCACCTGGTAATGCGGGTTGACCACAACCACATATCCTGCGTTCATGAGAGTCTTGATATCCTCGAGGGGAGTACCGTACATGTGCCCCTTGTACTCGCCGTGCTCCACCAATTGACCGACTTCGGCGAGTTCGTTGAGCTTCTCCCGGGTCACGAACTGGTAGTCCCGGCCATTAACTTCGCCGGCACGCGGGGGTCTAGACGTCACTGGGACAACGAATATGTCATTAGGGACGCGGGGTCTAGACGTCACTGGGACAACGAATATATCATTAGGGACGCGGGGTCTAGACGTCACTGGGACAACGAATATATCATTAGGGACGCGGGGTCTAGACGTCACTGGCACAACGAATATGTCATTAGGGACGCGGGGTCTGGACGTCACTGGGACAACCAAATTGAACCAATATATGATCAGTTTACCTTATTGTTATTAATAAAAGTTATGAGGTACAACTATTTATATTCACTAGGTGCTTGTGTCTCAATATCAGCCTGTCATGTAAATACAAAGGAAATTTTAGAAAAAATTTACCGCAGTACTCACTGCAGTGAGTGACAGAGAGCGCATTTTCTCGTCAACGAAAACTTGAAGTGACTGACAGACGGACAGACAGACGGACGGACAGACATGGCGAGCACAATAGCGCCTTTTTTCCATAAATGAGAAAATGGGCTAAAAAGCGATATGAGTTACAAATACCTATTTATATTCACTAAGTACAAATGGCGTAATAGCAGCCTGTCATGTAAATACAAACGAAATTTTCACATTAATAACTTTTAACAAAATTTTCGAAGGAGGCGTTGATAAGGCAGATGCCAAAGGTTCAAATCACTTTAACTGAAGACTTGGTTCCAATGATACTTGGAACGAACCTTGATGTACAAGGTTCACTGGACGATTAATTTCGAGAGGAAATTAGATTCGGCAAAAAATTATTACGGTCATTGTTGAAGCGGTTGGATGAGCCGCATTCTTGATACAATGTGGCTCAATTCATCAACTCCAGGCAAGTTTCAACTCAATTTTTTTAGGCATTCAACAAGGCAAGTTTCAACTCATTATCCAGGCATTCAACTCGTCAATTTAACTTCATCTCATCACTCATGATGAGAACAGGAATTGTTCAAAAGGCACCTCATCACTACTGATGAGTGTTGACAATGATGACTAACTACTGCTGATAATGATAGCAGGTGATGATAATATTACTCACTTGGCACGGGTGATCTGAATTTCTCTGGGTCGAGGGCCACGAGCCGTCGCTTGAGTTCGTTCCGTCCGACGCCAGGAGGACCGATCAGCACGACGGGCCGCGGCAGACCGGGCCGGGGGTACAGACGGGCTACCTCCTCGTACGTCGCCACCTCAAGAGAATTGAATTTTAAGTAGTATTCAGGATAATTTTTTATATGGAACACTAGCGATTCGTTGTAAATCCATTAATAATAATAATAGCGGCTTCAGCGTTTAGTAGGCCGTAGGCCTGTCGCCGATTCTTAACATCGCAGAACATTCACATCATTTTGTGGTCTCGAACGCGCAACTCACTGCTACAATTCTGCTGTGCTTAACCGCCCGGCCTCCTCGCCGATTTTGACCAGAAACTGTCACACAGAGCTGGGATCAAACCCGCACTTCTCTGCTCCAATCTTGGTACTCTGAACTGTAACCGCCGAAAGTTAAGTGAGAGTTCGATTCTATTTAACGCTTTCAATGCTCCCCAGTCAGTCCAGGACGATATCTGTACCGAGCAAGAAATAAGTCTTATCTACAATCCATCCTCTCCATAACCCATGTCAACAATTCACTTTGTTAATTTCGGCTAGGTAAGCGTTGTTTATTTCTTCAAGTTTAGAACATCCACACTACCGTCAACGAGACGCCAGTAGCCACAGTAATGCCACAATTCTTATCCGATCAAGTTCTTAAAAATTAATTTATATTTAAAGCGCGGCAACTCAAGTGTCACTGACAGCAGCCATTCCGTAAACTTACTGAGCATTTTGAACAGAAAGTTGACGTAACCTAAGAATTTGAACGAAAAAATAAGAATAATAATAACAAATAAAATAAAACGGTGATTTTTCAGTTATTTGACACATAACGAACACACCTTAAATACTTCCTCAAATGAAAAGTTCATCAACACATTATAAATACGTGTACAGTAGTAAACAGTAGTTCAACAAATATAAAGGTTAATTGACATATAATATCAGCAGAGGTGGGCAGTAGCGCGCTACATGTAGCGGCCGCTACATTTTCAGTAGCGGCAGCGGCGCTACATTTAAGCAATTGTAGCGGTAGCGCCCGCTACATTTAGAGCATGTAGCGGTAGCGGCCGCTACATTTCAAAGTAGCGCTGCCCAGCTCGAAATACCAGGCTTACCTCCTCCCTGTCGAAGTCTTCACTCTCTGCAGCGTCGTAGTGAATCATCTTAACTTTAGGGGCGCTCGCTGGTGCACAGCTCGCCGGACTTTTGGCTTTGGCTTTATTCTTCGCCTCCGCTGTACACAAGATATTCAACTTAAGCATTGTCTTGGTTCAGTTTAGTTGTACTTATTTACATTTTTAAATATTTTAAGAACCTAACCTAATCTCAAATAGATACTGAATGCATCCCTAATTACCCTCTCAGCACTTGAGTAATAAAATAAGTATTGAATGATACTGAAGAATTTCAGTCTATTATACTGAAAGAGTAATTAAGTGCAATCAAGTCATCAACCTAGGTCAATTAATTATAACGGGATATATTTCATGGGCCTCGATTTACGAAACAAAAAGTAATTCAATTATTTCCCTAATAAAAATCACGCACCATCGTCCTAGTGAAATTCAATAAGAAACCGGAATGCGGACAAATCGTTTTTGTTGAAGCCGGAATATATAAACTAACGACTAAGGCTACCGATACCAAAAGTAAATGCATTCTTTTCATTAAATGTAAAACTTTGAATAAAAACCATGGATAGAAATAAACGAAAAATTTGAAACAATGTCATGTAGAATTGGTCGAATTTCAGTAATATTGACATGTTTTACAAACAAGCGCATGCCTACATGGCTAATCTTATTAGAAAAATATAGAAATAGCGTCAAGCAAGACAGATGAAAGTTTAAGTTGATAAGGAGCATGCGAATGTTTACACGAGCAACACAACAAGAAACAGTAGAAATGGCTCCCATTAAGAGAAGTTAAAGTCTAATAATATTGACACATGAAACAATAGAAATATCTTCCATTAAGAGAAGTTAATGTCTAGTAATATTGACACACGAAACAATAGAAATGGCTAAGTACGGGTAATATAATATAAAGTCTAAGTAATAATATTTGTAATAATAATAATTAATAATAGAAAGAAGTAGTAGTAATAGTAATAAATTAGTAATAAGTAATAATTAATAAAATAACATTTGAGTATAAATAATTATAGTGCGCATTATCAGCACCTCTGGACGCAGCGATGCGCCGCTCCTGCAGCTGGCGCGAGGGGATCAGGCCCGCCCTCATGGACCTGTCGCCCTCACGTCGAGCTTGCCACCTGCCGGGGAAACTTAGATAAGGTTAAAGTTTAAACCTTTTACCTGAACTGATAAGTGAAAAAGTTTAAACCTTTTACCTGTGGTGATAAGGTTAAAGTTTAAACCTTTTACATGTGGTGATAGTAAAACTTTTACCTGAGCTGATAGGTGAAAAAGTTTAAACCTTTTACATGTGGTGATAGGTAAAATTTTAAACCTTTTACATGTGGTGATAAGGTAAAATTTTAAACCTTTTACATGTGGTGATTAGGTAAAATTTTAAACCTTTTACATGTGGTGATAAGGTAAAATTTTAAACCTTTTACATGTGGTAATAAGGTTAAAATTTAAACCTTTTACCTGTGTTGATAAGGTTAAAGTTTAAACCTTTTACCTGTGCTGATAGGTGAAAAAGTTTAAACCTTTTACCTGTGTTGATAAGGTTAAAGTTTAAACCTTTTACCTGTGCTGATTGGTGAAAAAGTTTAAACCTTTTACCTGTGGTGATAAGGTTAAAGTTTAAACCTTTTACCTGTGGTGATAGGCGAAAAGTTAAAATCTTTAACTTGCGGAAAAAGTTAAGAAGGTAAAACCTTTCACCTGTGATAAAAAATTAAAAATGTAAAACGTCTTAACTGTGGTAAAAGTTAAAAATTAAAAACATATTACCTGTGGTAAAAAGGCAAAGAAAAGGTAAAACCTTTTACCCGAGGTAAAAAGTTAAAAATGTAAAAGTTAAAGCCTATTGATAAAGTGGTAACAGGTAAAGAAGGAAAACCCTTAGGACGCTTCGACACAAACGCATTCTTACCTAACTTAACATGCCAAAATAAGTATGTGATGTAAAATCAAGAGTGATTTATATGGTTAAATCGATGTTTTAAATTTATTTAACCCTTTATTACCCAGGGAAAATGTACTAAATTATTAAAGTGTGTATTATTTGCCGCCAATTTCGGAGCCACTTTGTTACTGAAGACTGAGAACTAATAGCTAGAATTAAGTGAATCAGAAAGTTCCAGAAATATGAATGAATGATGTTCAGCTTGGAACTCGAGGTCTGAGAAAATCAGAGACATTCGACTTTGATAATAAACTTGGACTGAGTGATTGATAATAGACTTGGACCGAGTGATAATCCAACGAATTAGACCGAGTGATAATCCAACGAATTAGACTGAGTGATAATCAAACGGATTAGACTGAATGATAATCAAACGGATAAGGTTGATAAAAATTTGTAACTATGCAGATATCCTTGCAATCTGCAGGATCGATAGATATTAATATAAGTATACAAATTAATAATTAAAAGCAAGACCCATCCTCAGATCATAACATGCCAGTAAGGGTCGTCCTGAGCCACGATGTGTAGGATGTCGCTAAGTATACAAATTAATAAAAATGAGCGACACCCATCATAACATGCCAGTAAGGGTCGTCCTGGGCCACGATGTGTAGGATGTCGCTAAGTATACAAATTAATAATAATGAGTGACACCCATCATAACATGCCAGTAAGGGTCGTCCTGAGCCACGATGTGTAGGATGTCGCCCCTGCTGAAGGAGAGACCCGCCTCCTTGCACGGGATGTGTTTGTCTTGCCGCGGGTCGTAGTCAAAGTGAGCGCGTACGCGTACTTTGCTCTCACGCAAGTGCGCTGAACTGCCGGCCGGCACCAACTTGAAGGTGATCGTGCCTTCTGCCTCCATCTGTAATTACGTATACTTAATAAAAATTTGCTATAATCATTAGAACTTACATATAATTATCTTAACATTTGTTATAATCATTAGAAATTACGTATACTTATCTTAAAATTTGTTAGAATCATTTGGAATTACGTATACTTTTATTAAAATTTGCTATAATCATTAGAACTTACATATAATTATCTTAACATTTGCTATAATCATTAGAAATTACGTATACTTGTCTTAAAATTTGTTGGAATCATTTGGAATTGCATATAGGTACTTTATTGAAATTTGTTAGCATCATTGGGAATTACGTATACTTATCTTAAAATTTGTTAGAATCATTTGGAATTACGTATACTTGTCTTAAGAAATTTCGATCATTCTTTGTAATCGCGTATAGTCATATTGAGATTTATTATAAGCATCTGGAATTACGCATATTTATTGGAATAAAGAATTCTTAACCAAAAAGAGGCATATTTATCTGGATTACGTATAATAATTATCTAACAGTTCGGTATATTTATTTGAAATTAGGAGTACTTTGTTAGCCATCTACTTGGAACCTCAGTGTGGCGCCCACTTGGGACCTCAGTACGGGGCCCAAGTAGCAGCGCGTGTACCACCCACTCACCAGTATCTGGAGCACGTGTACCACCCACTCACGAGTATCTGGAGCGCGTGTACCGCCCACTCACCAGTATCTGGAGCACGTGTACCACCCACTCACGAGTATCTGGAGCGCGTGTACCGCCCACTCACCAGTATCTGGAGCACGTGTGCCGCCCACTCACGAGTATCTGGAGCACGTGTACCGCCCACTCACGAGTATCTGGAGCACGTGCGCCGCCCACTCACCAGTATCTGGAGCACGTGTACCGCCCACTCACCAGTATCTGGAGCACGTGTACCGCCCACTCACCAGTATCTGGAGCACGTGGGCAGGTGTGCTGCCCACCACGTAGTGCCCGTTGACCTCATGCACCTCGTCGCCCACGTGTATGAGGCCTGAGCGGTCGGCGGCGCCCCCGTGCAGGATGCGGGCGATGATGATGGCGCCCGTCTGCTCGTCCTGCTTGATCGTCGCGCCCTGTAACACAGAGAAATATTAATATCAATATAGTTCTATCATTATAAATAAATAATAATAATATATTATATACGTAATATTAGTAATTAATTAAGATTAATGATAATTGATCGTCGCGCCCTGTAACACACACACGTATCAATATCAATTTAGTTCTATCATTAAAAATAAATAATATTATTATTATATTATATAATATTAGTAACTAATTAAGATTAATGATAATAATTTATTTATTTCTATCATTATTAATCGATAATAATAATATGATTATTTTAATAAATAATATCAATAATTGATTGAGATAATAATAATATTCTTATTTTAATAAATAATATCAATAATTATTTAAGAATAATATAATAATTACGGTAATTTATTTCTATAATTAAAAATAATGAATTGAGATGCAAGATTTATTTCGAATTAAAGTAGGCAAATAGTGTAAAAATACATTACCTTCACTATAACACAGAAATTATTTATAACACAAATACTCGACTCGGGAATAAGTGACTTAATGAAAAATTTCAAGGAATGCTTTCACGCCCACTAATTTTAGCAAAATGATTTTTTTCACAAATACGCAAAAGGCCATAGAGTCAGAGTATATATACAATAAAATGTTGTTATAATTTGTCGTCAATAATATTTAATACAAATAATAATATTTAATAACTCACCACAATCGGTTCGGCTCCCTTGCCTTCCTAGGAAGCATGAATGGGGAATGAAGAACATCATGATGTGTTATATTACACAAGGCTCACACAGACACACATGAATAACATTATTATTAAAAATAATATATTATTATTATATCTATAAATAATATATATAGAGCCGTAATAAATATTTCGTTGCAGTGCAGCATGAAATTCAGTTCAATCAAGTTAATAAAGTTATGAATGAACACTGAATCATGTCAATTTTTTCAAAATACTTATTTTGGACAATATATGTTACCGGTATCATCTCAAAGAGCAAGAAACAACTGGAAAATAGTATGATCAAACATTAATTTGAATGAATCACGGAACGGTGCATGCATTCATCTCGCGTACAAGGAGGCTTGAAAAAATTATATTTTTATTATATATCATAACTATTCCACCATTTTTTGTTTAGTCAGTCAATTAAAGTCGGATGGAAGTCAAAGTTACCATCAGTTTATTGCCACTTCTATAATGGGTCCAACAGTTACCATGGGTTCAACAATCACAATGGGTTGAATAGGCACCATGGGTTCAACAGTTACCATAAGTTCAACAGTATAATGGGTTCAACAGTAATCATGGGTTCAATAGTTCACAATGGGTTCAAAAGGCACCATGGGTTTAACAGTTACCACGGGCTCAACAGTTACCATGGGTTCAAGAGTTATCATGGGTTCAACACTCACCATGGGTTCAACACTCACCATGGGTTACACTCACCATGGGTTCAACACTCACCATGGGTTCAACACTCACCAAGGGTTCAACACTCACCAAGGGTTCAACACTCACCATGGGTTCAACACTCACCATG